CTGTGTCTTCCCCATGGCTCATCTGCTGACAGTACTCTACTTAACATGTTTCCTTTGGAAGGTAGTAAATATAGCATTTTGTGGTCCAAACCTGTACATTTTTCAACTCATTTTATACCATTTGGATTAGACAAGACATATGAAGAAGAATTTGGTCTTTACCTGTTGGTATCACACAACCTGAGCCAGTCTTACAAAGAAATTATCTCCTGCATAAACAAGCCACAGACATATAACCTCATGAGGGTGTTTGCTCAACAGTATGGTTTTGAAAATGCAGCTCACTGTCTTCAGGCATTGTGTTAAATATGTCTTACTCAAAAGTATCAAACGCATTCAAGTGGACAATTACTAATTGCCATGAGAATATAAAATTCATGAGCATGTTACATCTTACAGAACAAAAACTACCACAAAACTCCTACATTTGATACTGATAGCTCACTCTGAAGATTTCTTAGTCAGCCACTGATCAATTCTGCTTAGAAAGTTGAAGTGCTGTTTATTTATGCCTTGTTTGTCTGCGTAATAGAAGGTAACAGTTTGATTTTGACTGAGTACCACCATACGCCTTGTGCTGCAAAGTAGTAATTGAGTTGATAAAGTTTCTCAGAAAAAATTCCACTGTTTGCAACTTTAAAAATCATGTTGAATGATTTTAAAAATGCAAGTTTGCTTTTCCTCAGGTTTAGTTACAGAAACCATTTAACTGCTTAGACCTCCAGAAAATCAGTCTTTCCTAATAATGTTTAAAGATTCTGCTCAGTACTATGTACTACATATATGTGTGTGTATATCAACTTACATAAAGTGTTCGTGCAAAACCTTATCTTCAAAATGTGACATGAAATATGGTCACTAGCACGCATGCCAGTAGGCTGTGCAGTGGAGGCAATGCACTGATAGCTGCCCTAGCTTTCCCTGTAAATCTGAGGTGGCATTCACTATATTAATCTACATCTGCACAACCTATGCAGGCTGTGCCACACAGAGCACAAAATGCTTCATCTACTAAATGTATTTTACAGAGATTTCCATGGGGAAGGAAGGATCTAAATACCTTAGGAGCTCTGCAATCAAATATATGGCAATTCTGAGATTTTTCAAATGGTCCTGTATTTGCTTCCTTTGGAAAATGTAGCCTGTGCCCATCATTCAGACAAACAGCTATTCTGTTGAGCATTGCTGATCAGCTGGCTGTGATCCAAAAGCAGAGCTCCCACTTCGCCAGGCTCTGCCATGCCACAGCCAGTGATGGACTCTCCTGGCTGTGATATCTTCTGTTTCCTGATCAATGCCATTCCACTAAGCAAAAAGAAATACAGTATTCATAGGAAGGGAGTAAGCAAGGAGCTATGTCTCTGTTTCTCAACGATGCTAGCCTGCAAGAAGGAATGCAGACACCAGGATTTTGGTCTCCACTATCCTTTTCAATATGCTACACATAACCCAGGACCTAACAGGGAAAAGGAAATCTCTTTTCAGATAGCAGATTCCATATTTAGAAATTAGCATCAAGTCCTGTTTCTGTGCCAAGCAGCTCCTGGCTAGCTGAAGAACCAATCTTGCTACTCCCACCTGTGGATCTTGTGGGATGAAACTAGGTACAGATTTCTTTAAATGGTCTCTTTAAATGAAAAAACAATCTGCTTGGTCTCCTAGAAAGATTTTGACAGCTTGGGTGTCATTTTCCATGTAGAATTTGTCCAAGACACATAATCTACTGTCTGCAAAGTAGTTGAAAGCTTTGGGGCCTTAAAATGACCATTAAGTAATATCTATAAAGCTCAATATTTGTCTCACCTAAATATCTGTACATGCTGCTGCTCTTATCATTTAGCAGCACTGTTAAACACTGTCTCAGAAATTTTACTGTTGCATCACCTCAACTCAGCTGCAATTGCAGATTAAACAAGAAGGAAAGCAAAGCTTTCTCTATATGTTTTGCAGCTCATATGCTATAATCATTACAAGGACAAAATAAATAGAGAGGGGGAGTGGGGAGAGAGCATGAGGGTGTGAGCAATAAGTATAGCTGTAAGCCTGTTTTCTTTGTGCATTTTAATAGAGATCTCCTGCTACACTGAAGCCTGTATGTGGCTCAGTAATAGCCTCCTCTGTGCTGCTCTAGCCACGACTCATCATTTGCTGCATGTCTAGTACTAAAGGCTGGACCCTGCCTCCTTACACAGTGTCTTAACCTTGCCTTGCCCTTCTACCCCACAACAGCTGCTTTGTTTCCTTTCACTAACAGTCAGACATCACAAATTCCTTCCCTCTAAAGCCATTATAACAGAACCGGCACCACCCCAAGTGGTTTCAGAACTAACTGATTTAGATGCTGGAATCTGCTGCAAGGCCAAAAATAACTCCCCATTTCTTTCTCCTTCATTGGTGAAAGTAAGAGAGAAAGTGGCCAATGACAGAGACACAAATCCCCTGTAGGCATCGGAGACAAATCTATTTTGTGTCAGAAAAAAAAAAAAAATGCTCTTGAAAAATGTTTCTTTGCTCAGGCCAATAGATACAGACCTGCTGCATGCAATTTTGCTGAACCGATGGTATCACTTGAATGGCTCACAGACTACATAAAATGCATTACATAATTATATTTTTAAACACTGTCCCCAGCTGTGCTGATGCACATAAAAGCTGTGTTTACAATGGACTCTGCACATGTAATTATTTTGTGGCACTAACTCTGTGCATTTCCTTGATGGATGCTCCATGGTGCATAAAATTGTAGCTTTTATCATAGATTCTTGAATATATTCTTTGGATGTTTCAGCTTTAAATACTTTGTTGTCCTCGCATGGGTGAACAGGACTGATGCCTGGAAGGGCTAAATTATTACATCTGAGGGAACACCTTTAAGTCCTCTGGGAGCAGCAGAGGGGGAAACATGATGAGTGTTGGATTTGAGGCACCTGGGTCACTGGAAGCACTGAGCAGCAGAGCCGGCTGCTCCTTCATGAGAGGTTTCCTGTGTTGATCTTCTGGATAGAGCAAGGGCCCTGCACCTATTTGGCTTGCACAAGTTCATCCCAAGCTGATTAATGCTGCATCAACCCAGATGCTTTGTAGGAGAGGGAGGCTAAACAATGCCTGGTGCCCGTGTGAGTGCAGGAGCAAAGGGGCTGGAGGCTGCCCGTGCGGAGTCAAACAGAACATGGGCTGGACTGTTGGGATCAAAGAACAGCTTTGATTTATCTTCTATTCTGTTTGTATACAGTGAGTGAGCTCCCAGCATTTCACTGTGAGCTCTCCCTTCTCTGTTCTCCATCCAGTTGTGGAATACCAAGCATTTCTTCATGCTAGAGCAGTAGTTGATGCATAGGACCCAGCAAAGAAGACAGTGTGTATTTATTTTAGATCTGTTCCAGTATTCTTGAGTATTAATATCACTGTGAAAACCTAGATGCTGAAAGGATTGGTACATAACACAGTCCAAGAGTTTTGCCTGCCAAACAATAAGACTTGGAAATAAATAAAGACAAAAAGTAATACAATATCTTGAACAACAGCTTCAAAATGATGGAAGAGCAGCATCACGGGTAGCTACATTTATTTTTTTTTTACTATTGCTGCAAAGAACTGGCAGACTTTTATTGTCAATAAGCAGAATGGTTTGGCATTTTATCTCTCATGTCTGGCTAACCTTAGGTATAAGACTGCACAAAGGAAATGCAGGTTTTATTGTAAACCAGTTTTTAATGGCAGATGTTTGTTGGAAATCAGGTCCGCTTTCTGGTAATAGATAGCTTGAATTCCTTTGTTATCATTCCTTGCCCTTTTCGGTCCTCTGTTTGGTCATGGAAGCTGGAAGCCTATGCTTTCCCAAGGACAGTTGCACCATTTAAAGTAGTAATTGGTCTAATGCCAGTAGTGATCAAATTGTTCCAAAGCAAATAGCTTGACTGTTGGTAAACCAAGTTTTCCACTCTCACATGAATATAGTCTTCTCCCATCATAGAAACTCTTCAGCTATGGATGTCCTTAGCATTCCCCTCTCTTTGGCATGTGAAGTTTACATACCAGCTTCTAGGCTGTTGATGCATTTTGCACCAAAATGTCAGGTGGTGGAAGAACAATCTCTGGAGTGGAAAAAATGTGGAACTGCATAAGTTTATTGTATGTTCGTTTGCATAGTCTACCTTTCAGATAAACCTTATCCCTGTAAGTGTACTGGTACTTGAAAAAGAGTCCTTGAATAACCTGCACAAAAGCTGAACCACCAGAGGTGCTACTTTGGAAAAGCAAGCAGAGGAAGGTATCAGAAGCAAGGCAAAGGAAACGCTTCTGGAGTAAGCACCCCCTGGTATTGTTCAATATATGTCTCTATCCTGTTTTTGAAACACAAGGTGTTGTTATTTTATTAGAGATAACATGGCTTATACATACGAAAAGAGGGTACATTTCTCACTGGGTAAGACATACTTACATTACTGAAGTATGTGTTATTTTCTAAAAGGGCTTATTTCCTCCTAGTCCCTTACTCTAGAGAGCCCTGCTGAAAGTCTGTCAGCCATCTAGGCCAAAATATGTTTTTCAAATATGTGATCATCTTATACAAATCAACATAATTCCATGTGCTTTCACAGAGCTATGACTTAAACCAGTGGAGGATCTAACTCCTCGGTATTTTATGTAACACAGATAAACACCAAAAATTGCGATCAGAGAGGAAATATTTCTAGGTGTAACATGCTTGCATCATTACCCTTCCACATTAGTTACAGTCCTTTGCTGCAGCCACTTGTGCAAGACTTTTGTGCTTATCTTTACAGTACATGGAGATAAGAGTTGCTTGTATTTTGCAAAACATTAGCGTTATGTACAGATGAAAGTAAGAATCCACACTGAAATTAGTACAAGTTTTGCAGTTCAACAGGACCAAAACAATCCTCTTAATACTACTGTCTGAACCCTGATCTTTGCCTTTTTGTGTCTAATTCACCAGAGACTTCTCTTTCCAAAAGCAAAACAATGCTTTGAGAAGTCACAGTTCAGCATAAATTATGTCATCACTCTTAGGTGTTGAGGTATCGTCTTTGTTGCATTAAGTCCCTCTTGGAAATGTCCAATAAAGCCAGAAAGAAAATGAGACTTATTTTACAGATTTTTTGAGCACTCTAATTCCATTCTTGCTACAATATTATCTGTGAGAAGCTTTTTCTCTTTTAATTCCATAAAGCTCTATCACTATATTATCTAAGCAGCTAAATACTGAGATTATGTAAGTTGAACATAATAGGATGTCTGTAAAACTTTGCTCCTTCCAGCTTTGGAAATTTCTACATTGCTCTTCTACAGTGACTCAGCTGAAGATCTCCCATATGATTTAGGAGAATGTGTGGTAGGGTGGTATTTCCACCCTTTGGAGGAATGTAGAAAGATCCTCAGGTATGACCTCAGCTTCAGCCTTGGTCTCTTCTCACGTCCCCTTGACTTTGCTGGGCAATCTTTAACCACTGAGCAGCAGATGCTTGCTGTAGTTCCTGCCAGGCATTTCACTTCTGTCTTTCTAGGAATGTTTACCTAATGTTTTCCTAGGAAAAAAAAATCCACCTTTTGATTTTGCACAGCAGGAGAATTTGCCTGTTGTACCAGATAACCACCTCAATATGTACTTTCACAGTCTGTTTCTTCTAGAGGATATTTTTGGCCCATAAGTGGTGTTTTAAGAATAATTCTACCAGTACTATTTTTATAATATGTATCACTTCATGGTGCATTACTAACCATATGGCCAAGCACGCTACATGCAGCTACATTGCAAGGTTTACTGCCCAGTAGGCATGAGAAGCATTTATTTTGAATGATATGTATTGAGGAAAAAAATTCCGCTTCAAAGGTACAGGCTTAGGACCCTTTTTTCTCTTCTTGGTTCTCTCTTAGTTTTAAATGAGGTTCAGCTTTTCTCCCTTGAAATCTCACTGCAATAATGTGGGCTCAGAGCAGCTGTTTTTACTTTGCCTTGCTGATAACTGGCAGGAGATAAAATACGGAGGAGTAAATTCTGCCTGGCTGCTACAGGTTGCATCACACAATCACTGACTGGTAGGTCTCTGAGAATTGTTACTGATAGCTAGATTTTATCTTGGTAGGGGTAAGAGCTCATGAAACAGGATGACTCAAGGAATGACTAATGAACACTTTATGATGAAACTTCTGTCTAAGCCGTGTCAACTGTGACCAAAAATTATCACCAGGGAGTTATTTGACAGTCTAGGGTGAGTGAGCAGATGCCCTGAGTCCACCTTGTTGTAGAGATGTGTCTTGAATGTAAAATCCACTAACTCAGTTTGTATCAATTAATGTCAGTGGGGAAAACCACAAATGGTGATGTGGCATGCTGGTGAACTATGCTGTTACCCCTCAAGTGGCTTCTCCCATTTAGAGCTGGCCATTTAATGAGGTAGATGATACTGCCATTACTTTGCGTTCTTCTCTTTTGTAAATAAATCATTCCAGTTAGATGTATACACACAGCTTTGTTTTGTGTGTTCATACAGAAATGCAGACTCCCAGGAACAGTTCCAGCTACTCAGCTGGGATTACATTATCAACACAGGCATCATCATATTTAGGTGGGCCTCCTATGCAAATGTCATGGGGAGTTCCCCTGTGTGACTCTAATTTATGACTCTACCAAAATATCCTTCTTCAGTTCCTTGATCCTAGGCCCTTTATATATGGTTTACAGGTACCTTTGCTTTTCTTGGGACACCAGTAGCTCCTGTACAATCCCAAATCATTAGTTACACGACTAAGTCAATGTGGAGGTATCAACTACTGTATTGACTTAGCAGTGCTCAGTAAAATTACCTCCTGCCTTCTTATGCCAATGGTCATGTCTTGCTTTCTGTACAGCAACATCTTGACAAAATGCATTATTTCCCCTGGAGAAGAACAAACTCCCCCTTTTGGGCAGGGTACAAATGAGTCCAGATGTGTTCAAGGTGTGGGGGCTAGAAAGGGGATATGTGCAAGTTTTGCTCTGGGCAGTCAAGAGACGAGATGGGGATCATGGGAAGTCAGAGGCTTAGCCTTGGCTCTGACAATGATTTTTTTGTGTGGCCTTTTGTAAGCTCTTTCATGTTTCCACCTCATTTTTCTCAATCCTAAAATGGAGTTCAAAATCATCACTTCTCTAACACCTCCCCCTCCACACACACACATAGAGTTGTGAGAAGGTTTAATGTTTATCTCAGAGGCTTTGAACAGTATTATACATCCAGGGAATGTATATAGGCATTTAGACCCCAGAATGAGCTTTAGAAAAACATCAGTAAAGAAAACAGCATTTATATTTTAATCATATTAATAATAAATTTAGGATTGGAACAGAATATGTGATTAACAAACCTGCAAAACAAGCTTTGTTTCATTGGCTTGAGCTGCTTTCTAGTTCTGTTTGTGTACGTCAAAGTGATGTTCAGTCTTTTTAAATGAGTCACAGGACTGGAAGAACAAAAATATTTGATGGTAACATATAGCAGCAAAACAATTACTCTTTTCATTCTGACAGGCATGATAACCAGAATAGCAAGTTAGAGCTAGAGGTCTAGGCTGGTAGTTTCTTTCCATATATCAGGGATTTTAGATCTGCTTGCAAGACAGTGAAATAGAATTGAAATGTCATAAAAATTAAAAGATAACACCAGATCAAACAATAAAAGCAAGCATGCCCGTTAGGATACAACTATTTACACTTATAAAGGCACTACTGATCAGTGAGTCCATGCAGTATTCTCACACAGCACAGCCTTGTCTAGCAGCTTTCTGTACCTTTATCCAGAGGAGACTCCTTTCCACCCTGCTTGCTGCATTGCACCACTGATTTAGTGAAGACATCATCCTCATAAGGATGCTCTTCTAACTCACCTCTGAAATCCGCTTGCTTTTCTCCTCTGACAATTAGGTTTAAATGTGCTGCAGCAAAGTACTCATCCTTAGCAGTCGTATGGCTTTTTAAGTGATAAACTGCATTAGCAAATTCCTTATTAGATAATCTATCAAATGAGGTCATACATAATTTTAGCAGTCTCATCTTGATTTATAGCATGATCACAGCAAATTATGCACACACAAACCAGCATGCAAGCTGTCAAAGTCAGGTATTTTTACTCTGCTAAAAACTATTGCCAGGACAGCCCAGTGTCCTACTGGTAGAACTCTGCATCACCATGGCTTGCCCAGTTTGCAGGATAGCCCTCAAGCTCACCCCTCGCCTTTTATTAGGACTGATGAGAGTTCAAGGCAGTAGGTTAAGTCCTTGCTTCATACATTCTAACAATAATCCTTAATGGTGTTTATTCTGACAGATTTTCCATACTCCTCTTAAGTAAGGGCATGGGCTCTCTAGAAAGGTAAGCTTAGGTATGGGGAAACTGGGTCTGCAGGGTGCTGATCTTCTCCCTGCCTCCCTTCTGTGTTCCCAAGGGAATGAAAAGCTAGTTGGAGTGAATCATCAGGCAGCACTGCACACGACTGTAACAGAGTCTGCTTCCCAGTCCAGGCTGCTTGGGCTGGTAGAGACTTGGTTGCCTGCACCCACTGGCACTGGAGGAGGCAGTGCTCCATCTCCTACAGCCATCTGCACTGGGGAGCCATGCCACCTGCCTTGCTACAAGCACAAGTGATGAGATGCAGGGAAAAACAGGAAGGATCTTCAGGAGAAAATGCTGTTTCTGAACTGCCCTTCGCTATCACTGCTGCTCTGTTGTTCACTGCAGCACCCATGCTGGAAGTAAATTGCTCCCGGGATCCAAAAGGGACACGATTCCTATCCCCCAGCTTCAAACTTCTGCAAGTAATATTTCATCCATGGAGATTTATCTGTAACTACCATAGGGGGGAGCTGCAATAAATTATCTGATCTTGCCTTTCTCTTCACCTGCTCTCAACTCACATTGCTATTTCTAGGGTTTAAGCTGTGCAAAGTGGCAAGAGTACATGTAATCTCCATTTCCCACTGGACTTATGGCCAAACTCTGTCTGTGAAGGACCAAGTAGGATGGAACAAGATGTGTTCTTTGGCATTCCAGGTATCTTGCCCCTAAAATGTAAAATAAAAACTAAATGAAAATCTGAACAAAAATTTCCCCTGGAAATATTAGATCATAGAGACCTAACTATCACTATATGAAAACTTCTTGAAACGCTTAATACAAAGGTCTCCATGTTGCATTCACAATAATATTGCTGGGATGAGAGACTGGAAGAAACCAAAGTCATTCATCAAAATGAGCTAGCAAAGGGCATGCTTTCAGGGATGGCACTGCTGTTTTGCACACACTATGGTAATTTGGCCTAATCCTGCTGAATGAGCTTTTCATGCATATGTGTGTATGCATATCTGTCATGAGTGAAATCTATTGCATCCTCAGTTGACAAGCTGTGTGTGGCCGATTGCAGCAGGGTTTGGGGAAAGAAATTCATGACCCAGGCTAAGAGTAGAGCATAGGAGTTCCCTCTGGAGCTCACCAGCCAGGATAGCAATTGCACCCCCTCCCCACACTGGTACCAACACCAGTCTGGGGTCCCTCTTCTCTCTGCTCCTTTTATCCCATGCCAGAGTGGCTGAAGATGCAGCAGAGAGGATGATGAGAAGGGGTTTGTTTCTTTGGGGCACAGGTATACGGTGAACATTGATGGAGAACCTGGGTTGTGCCAGCCCTGCAGTAAGGCTGTACCACAGGATGGAGAGGGGCGAATGGGCAGGAGTGGAAAGCTGTCTGCAGAAGGTGTGAAATGCCCCCATGCACCTAAGGATGAGTGCTGAGGGAGGGTGAGAGGCTCTGTGGACAGCCTTGCAGACCCCGCAGCACTACCATGCAAACCTTCTCACCTGGGTCTGTGCTGCAGGGGCATGTCCCACTGAGCAGCACTGACCAAAACTGCAGCTGGAAGCAGGGCAGAAAGTCTCCTTTGATGCAGTGGGCATTGGGCTCCCTGAGTGCCCTGGCTCCTGAATAGGGACCCTCAAGTGGGCAGGGAAGGGGGTACAGCCCCATCTCCCCACTTTACCTCTGTAGGAGTCCCCTGGGGGAGCAGTTGTGGCACCCCCCGGCTCCGTGGGGTGATGGGACCCCCTCAGCAGCCCCGGGTTGGCCACTCCTTCTGTAGACCTGCCTCTGCAGAGGTGTTTGCAGCCATTGGCACGGGCGCTGCAGCGCTGGTTGCCTGGCAGCAGGAACGCGTCCGCTTCCCCATGACAAACATCATCTCCATCGACCCAGACCACCTCCCGTTTCAAATGTCTGTCCATGCCGGAGAGCCCAGCAAGGGGAAACGTATCTCACCGAACAGAGTAAAGCAAGCCCCATTTCATCACTGGAGCGATGCAGGGACCCTTGCACTGATCAGCTGCCCCACAGGTGAATTCATCCAGCACCATAAGTAAAATTCTGTGTGCTCGGCCATTCAGCACAGATTAGCACTAAGAGGACAAGCCCCCTTAAAGAAGTACATGCTAATTAGGTGCATGAATACTTAGCTTTCTACAGAGCTGTCAGAGGAAAAGTAACTGTGAAGCTAAGCCCCACATCTGCCTTTTTGTGTCTGGGTTTTTGGGTCCTGCTGAAAACACGCTAATGTTCTTGATGTGCCAAAAGAAGGCAAAGTGTGGTATCTGATCAGGAGCACGGCGTTGCTACAGGTCTCTGTGGCTTATAAAGCATGTGCACTGTGTTTCTCTGCTCCCAGCTTGGCACTCAGCCCCGAGCGTGCTGCTGCATCCAGCCTCTGTGCTGTAGTAACTCTAGTGCTGAACATCATCACAATCACAGGATTATGAATTTGAGAGACACAAAACCCACCAACTTCAGAGATATCCATCTTCTTTAAAAAAAAGCAAGCCATTATGAGTCAGGCACATTATCTACCAGCAGCCCACTGAAGAGAGCTGTCTTCTGCAGGGAGGTGGAGGACGGGAGGATGCCTGATGAGTGCAGCAAGGGCGAGGGCACAGGAAATGGAAGGGGAGAACACAGGAGCTGTGATCTCCATGACATGGTGCCAGTGCTGTGCAGGGAGCACCCAGGAGAAGAAGCTAGTGAACTCTTTGCCCAGGGGACTGTGGTGTACAGCAAGGATGTGGCTTCTGAGAGAAGCTGGATTTGATGAAAGTGTGAAGGTGCCCAGCAGTGCTGAGCTCCACACCACCACAGCGGATCGCTGCCTTGCAAGGTGGGGTGGGTACCTCTATGCTGGGGTGCAGTTATTTGTAGAGACAGAGTATAACATCCTGCCTGCAGGAAGGCTGAAATTAGTGCGGCCTATCAGTCATTTTCTCAGTCTACTCTGAAACAGATTTGTCTCGAGGAGGCTCAAGCTACATGAAAGCACTCACATCAGGTGCAGAGGCAGCTCCCTCCTGACTGTGACTGGTTAATATGATGTGGGAATAAGCATCATGCCATTTAGGAGCTGTAACTTCATCCTCTACAACATCAGCATCAGCCTGTTCTCACCTAGTGCTGTGGCTCAAGGGAGCCAAAAACAGGGCAAAAGGAGAGGGGCAGGGACTGGCTGCAGGGAGGTACCTGGCAGGGGAGTGCAGCAGCTTGTCTGTTTTCAGGAGAAGAAGGAAATCTCTGGTAGGTGCTGCACAAGAGGAGCTGTGGCGCAGGGGTGTAGCTGTTGAGGTTGGGAGGAGGGTAGGGAGGAAGGGCTGCTATTTAATTGCCAGCCCTGGTTCTATCAGCAAATAGGAGGACAAGCTGTCACTGGTGTGCAAGGTAGCAGATGGCCTAATTGTGAGATTTCTCCCTTGCAAGAGCAAAATGCTATACTGTTTTTAACATCTTTGCCTAAAGCTGAGTGCTAGCTTCAGATACTAGCAAGATACACTGTACAGAGGCACTTTGTGCCAGAAATGTGCTCTAGTGATAATCAGGAGAAAACGGTGCTTGAAGTGACATTTAAAAAATAATTATTATGGCCTATTGCTGTTAGTCACACATCCCAAAAACTGATCTGGCTAACAGAGCTTTCCAAAGCATCTTCTGCTTGACAGATCATCTGGAAATTATGCCATCATTGTGTCACCGTGTCTCGCCTTATAACCCCCAGGACACTATCTATGCACACCATTTCTTCCCTGTTCTGGGGGGGGAAATAATTCTCTCCGGCTTCTGATTTTTCTCGTGCTGTTTCAGCTGGTTTTGTGCAGATTCTTGTCTCAGCCATTTGCTGGAGAGCACAGGGCTTCCTTTCCCAGAGGCAGCTATGAAGCATTGCCACCTCATCTCTCCTTGGGTGCCTCATAGAAGCTCAATGCTCTGCAAAGCTCCAGGCCTGCAGACAGAGACAGCAGAGCTCGCCAGTGTCACACTAATATCAGGTGCTTGAAACTTTATATTGAAGGTGCAGGGTCGTTAGTGGTGAGTCGTTATGGCAGGTGCATTTTGTCAGCTCCAGCTCTGATCTGACAACAGGGAAGAGGGCAGTGGGTAGCGCCTCTCTCAGCTGGGTCAAGTTTGCAGAGAAAACTCTGGTAAGGACTTATGTGGAGAGAAAACTTTGACTAACCTGTAAATGTGCTTAATATTACTTATCGGTGAGGGCAAAACCCATCAGCTTGGAATGGAATCAAGTGAATGCTCTGTTTGAGGATAACAGCCCTTGTTGCTTTTTTTGCAGGCCAATGACCATATTTTCAAGGACTTTTGCCTGCTGAGTACATTATGTGTTGCCTCTTCCTGCCAGGCCTTTAAACTTCATGATGTCTGTTGGGGTTTTCTGTTAATAAAAGTGTTTTAATGGGTTATCTGTAAGCTTTGTCTCCTAAGTATTGGGATGTATTAAATGTTCTTTAAATCTACCTTTCCCTCACTGTCCCTCTTCAAAAGACTCTTATCTATGCAACAGATGTCTGTGCTGCAGCAGTCTGCCCTCCTTCCGCTCCTCTCCTCTGACTTACTTTCCCTGTTTGCTCTCCTGCTAAAAAACACACAGCTGTGACACACCAGCCCATCTTTCAAATCCCACTGATTTCATGCCTCTCTCAGCCTCTATGTAAATCTCCCTATCTTTCCCTTCAAGGCCCTTTGTAATGTTACTTTGCCTTTAATCTTGTTCCTCCCACTCCTCCTCCTGCCTGTATTCTCCCAGTCATCCCTCCTTTCTGCTCATTTTATCTTGTTCTTAGATGGTTCAATCTTGCTTTTTCTCTTCATACTCCTCAGACACCTCAATCCATCTCCCATGTGCTGTTAAACAAACATTTTTCCTCTTGTTATGTCAACTCTACCTTAAATTCCTATCTTTTCTTCCTTACTAGCACTAACACACCACATACACTTATGCAGAGTCACCTGAGCTGTTGTCCCACGTGGTTTTCCTGGAGTGCATGTTCTTCACATCAGGAATTTGTAGTTCTCCTACAGTGCACACCCCACAGATACAAATGCAAGGGTCTTTTGAAGAGCAGCAGTCACCAGTAAGTAACTATGTATTATTAATCCCCTTGCTTATATGATTCACAGAAAACTTTAAACTCCCTCTAGCTGGGTAATAAGAGGAATCTTTTCTCTGTTGATGTGAAGGCACACTTTGGATCTTTAGCTAGATAAATGCATAAAAATGCATTTAAACTTACAGTGACTTAAATTTCCTATAGGCAGCGAAGCCATTTGAGGAACATAAATAAGAAGCAGGCTATTAGAAGAGGTTTGGGGTCTCACTGTACTACACTGCCTTACACTACCACGTCACCACTGGCTGTGTTCAAATTGCATTTAACATCTTTACATTCCTGCACATGACAAACAATGGGGACCAGCTCCCATAGGACAGAGGAAATACAGCACCAAGTGTCTTGAGTCCATTTCTCAACTGTCATCAAATAGCTTTTATTCATGGCATAGCACAAGTGTCAGCCAACTGGCAAAGGCAGCCTATATTAAAAATGTTGGGGATTATTCATGTCAACAGACACAAGGCAGCTTTTCTCACTCAGTGGATCTGTACCAGCAGTGGTATGAAAATGCAGCAGGTTCTCTACAGTAATCTCAAATCTGAATAACTTTAGAAGGAGGCCAGCAGCAGACTGTCATTTCCAAGTACAACTAGAAAATTAATCTAGCACAGTTAGATGAGAGCTTGGATAAGGTGAGGGGTTTAACTGTGTGGTTAGATAGAAAAGGCTACACCATAAGGATGTCATCTAGAAAGACCAGGGTGATTTTTTTTTTAAATGCTTAGACTGAAGACGGTCTGCAGGTTGTGAGCTGATGGTGGCTTCTCAGGTTTGCTTCTGATTACATAATTAGCTGTTAGGTCCTTGGCCTCTTTGATTGCAGGCATTTACTGTGCTATTTGGAATATGATTTTTGTGGGCCACATGATTTGTCTTTTATGGACAAGGTGCAATTTGGAAAGGGATTAATTTTTCCCCTTTTAAAAGATTTTTAAAAAGTTGCTGTTTAAGTAAAAATAACTTTTATTAATTTTTTGAGACTATTAATAGAAAAAAAATTAGATGGACACAAACAGTAAAATTGCTTACCTTAAAAACATCAGGCAAAGGTGGAAAATGATGAAGGTTTCAGATGTCTCAGGTTAACTGTTAAGGCCAATTCCCTGACTAGTTCTTTGAGTCCCACTGTATTTGCAGAAGACTACTATATTCTGTCATCTTGTATTTTTAAATTTTTCTTTTGAAACATATGGCCTGCTTTTTCCCCCCCTCAATTATTTTTCACTAGTTTAATTCTCTGAACTTGGTGATGTTATGTGGATATGAAATCAGGAGCAATTTCGGTGGAAAATAAAAAATTAAGGCCCATGCAAGTCATCATGAATAAGGTGACCTGATCTGCTCTGACACAGATCTATGTTCCACTTATGCTCTGGAAAACTTTGGATACTGTATTTTTGTGGAAACCTAATTTCTGTACAAATGTGTCATGCAGAAGAAACCCAACTGGCAAAACCCTCAGACAAATCCCATGCCATCTCCATGACAACATATAGATGCATAGTCTGCTATATACATCCTTACCGGGAGACTGACTGCTCCTAGATTTTTTCCCACGAGGAGCTGAAAGGCAGACTGACCAACAGGCTGCAGAGGATGTTGCTGGGGTTTAAATGTGGAAACCACAGATCATGTTTCATGCAGGGTAAACCAGAGGCAAATGGAGAACCCTTACAGAAGAGGTGAGCCTTGCACTACAGATTCCCTTGCTGAGGCTGCTTGGTCGAGTAAAGGAATGGGCACTGGCAAGTTTCCACCAAGTCTAAAAATTCACGTGGAGGACTTTTGCAGGGCTCTGAAAGTCTTGCTGAAAGCCCGTCAGTGTGACTCACAAGCAGGATGAGATAAGAATGGAAGGTAATTTGGGTTAATAAGTTATCCTAAAGAAAAAGAGGGCTTTATTCCTGCACATGTAGAAGGAAAAGAGAGAGTGATTTAGTCCTCTCTCCCTAGTAAAGAACTCTAAATTCTGTGGCAAGAGGTTTGCTTTCCACTCACCAGCAATGTGCAGGAAACCAGGGTCAGTGAGCCAGGCCAGTGGTACGTTTCATGTTAAATCAAAAAATAAACGTTGCTGTGTCATTTACTTGCTTCCCAGAGCAGTCAGAAGCAGGACCATGGGGTCAGGAGACTGGCTCTGTCCTTTGGGCTGCTCTGCAGAGCATAGAGTGACCCTGTCCAGCTGCAAACACCGTGCCAGGTCTGCCTTAGGCACTGGTGCTGCAGGGTCCCAGCTCCCAGGTGAGCAGGAGTTTCAGAAGTGTGGTAAGGATGCACCCGCTGGGGTAGCTGAACAGCGATAGATTCAGTAAATCCCCCATCCTGGCTATCTTCCTAACCTTTCCCCAGCTCCGTCCTGTGCCGGTGTGGTTTACATGCCTTCACTGAAGGCTGAGCGGCCTGGCCTCGGTGGTGGCGGCCCAGTGCGCGCGTGGCCGCTTCTGCAAAGCAGCTGAAGTGCTGTAATTTCATACTCCAGCTGACGGTGCAGGAACTTGTTCGTCTGCCTGTACCCTAGCGTAGGGGTGGACCTGGCTGCCATAAGCACTCCCAGAGCTGTCGGTGGAGCTGCTCCGTTCCTACTACAGAGTACTGTGAAGTACCTGAGTAAAGCACAGCTGGCCCCTTTATACTTCTGACTTTTGGACTGGAGAAGTCTTCTGCACTCCTATAGCCTTCTAAGTAAGGCTCCTTAGGCACCTTACCTCCACTCTGCTGCTCAGCTTTCCGAGAAACGGAGATAACAATATTGACCTCCTTGGTAGAGCACTTTCTCATTTTTTTTATGAGATGTGCTACATAAAAACTGATTGTTAGCTTTTGTTCAGCTATAAAAAGTCCTTAACAGTGGGGCACGGTATGTTATCAGCCATAAAAAAAGCCCTTACACTGAACTTTAGCATTTAGGGATAGACCTTTGTTCTGCTTAGTTACTTATAATCTTTGGAGTGGTGTGGCCTGGGTTTGGTTGTGGTTTGGGGTTGTTTTGCTGCTTTCTGTGTGCATATGTATCGTGTACCTATGGTTGACTTTTGCTTCTCTTAGGGCCAAAGATCACTTGGTTTAGCTTAACGTATAGATGTCAGTTGGCATTAGTCGAGTGACTGGCCCATGATCTGCCACTTAGCACATTTCCTAAACCACTGTACCAAGAAGGGCTATGATCCCCAAAAAATAATCTACCTTTCCTTCAGCATATACTCTATGAACGTTTTATACTGACAGACAGATCTTGTCCATTCATTGCAGATAGCCTTTTCCTCTGCCATAATAACACATATTTCCCTCTCTGTAGCCTCTGAAGAAGAAAAGGAATTCCCTTTTGTCTATAGAGCAGTTGAAGGCTTTGCCTCCAGCCTGAACAGCATGGTGCAAGGGTGGCAGTGTTAAGGATTGCTTGAGTTCATAGCAGATGGCATCTGGATACGATGGAACTCAGGAGCCTTAGATAGGTTCCTATTTAACAGCATTTCCAATGCAGTATCTAGCTATGCATGTCAGGAAGATGTAGACAGTCAGAAAGACATCACAGATAATACTAGTTCAAAGTCAAGATCGTAGCAGAAGCAGCAAAGGCAAGCCCCAAATAGTTCTCCATGGCCTAATACTTCTTGTTCTGAAAAGCAGTGTCTGGAAATGCCAGAGAGGTGTATAAAGTGTGGGGAAGATCTGGTGCTGAGCTAGGTGATACTGGAGCCTCAGCTCTCAGGCTACAGTCTCGGGAAGTAGAGGTGGGACAGCATTTACAACAGTGATGATTGAGGTTAGAGTGTTTTAGAAAGGATTTGATACATCCTGCCAGCTTGAGCTGATGGATGTCAACTATTCAAGTGAGATCAGAGCAATTAACTGTTCTTTGTCTTAACAGATCACTTAAACAACTGGAGCTGGGCAGGCTCCCCATAAGACTCTTTAGGAATGTGAACCCAGAGGCAGGGTTGTTTGGTTAGGGACTAATCTACCCATTCAGGTAGAGATTAACTTGAAGGCAGCAATTTCCTTGGGGGGTAGAAGAGAGACAGAAATAGCACAGAGAGCCAAGCAAGCTCACATGTAGCTGGAGGAGGCTACATGTTTGTGACCCCAAACAAAACCTGAGGGAGGGATTTTGGGCACAGTACTTTCAAGCAAAAGACACACAGAATTGCAAACAAAACTCCTTCCTTCTTGTTTGGCCTTGATTTTAAAAGTTCAAGGACAAAGGGCTTTGTGCATTCAGTGTTAATCAAGAGCAGTGTTGTAAGGAATTACCAACTCCATCAGGATTCTTATCCCAATGGAACCAACCCAAAATAACTCTCGCCCCAAACTGATTTGGGCTGCATAACTGATATGGGCTGAAAATAATAATGATTTATATATTTCTTAAGAAAAGTTCTTATTTTAAAGAGAGTTGAAGACAGCAAAGAGTTGGATAGGCTATTATTCTCCAATCAATTCAATTTTTAAGTCTTACTTAAAGAATGCTAATTTTAAATGAGATATTCTTCTGATCATTTCTACAACTGAAGGGATGTAAATTCACATTCATAATGAATGCTTTTTTTTTAATATTTGATTGCAGTAATCCAAATGATCCTATTTAATATCAAGGACAGAACTGGTATCTATTTTTTGATAACTGCTTTGCATAGCATACTCCATACAGTTAAAATTTCTTTGAGAACGATTTTAGAAGGCATGGCTCTTTGGTAGAACAGTCCTGGTGGGTGGTATGAAGAGGCTTCTCCTGCACACAGAGTGCTGGAAAGCCACAGTGCTAAAAGTCACAAATTCCAGGTTCTTTATATTTTGTCCTAATGATCTTTTACTGCCTTGTTCTAATCTTGAGCATCAACTGTTCAGACTTCTAAGAAAAAGATGTGCTCATTATACCTGTTGGCTCTTTTTAGTTTTCACCTTACCCTATTGTCAGAGGCTACAGGTCTTAGTTTGATTCCCAGTCTTCCTGACCAGTTGTA